ATAGTCCGAGCGTAGATAGCCCGAGCGTAGATAGTCCGAGGCGGTCCCGCAGGTCTCTCCCTCAGACCAGTCTCTCCAGAGGATACGATGTAAGCTAGCTCTGTTCAGGGCTTGGTTTCTTCTTTGATCATGTTCTGGCTTCCTCTTCTCTTCCTCACTGTTGTGTGGTTTGGGCTGTTTTGCTGTGTCTGCAGTTACAGCCAGAGGAGTTATAGCCACTTATGCTAACATGCTACTGTGTTTAGCAGCGCTGTAGAGGCTAGAGGACGCAGCATCAGGTATAGCTTCTTTAATGCTAAATGTCAGGTGAAAAATATGCAATGTCTATGTCTGTCCTTTATAGATTTCCCGAACCTTGGATCCGTGTCCCCTGACCCCCCCCGTCTGAAGGCCCTATGGGTGGCCCCTATAGCTGGGACAATATAAGTGGAGCTGCCTCCTGCTGAGAGCGGGATGGAACAGAGTAATGTCATTCTGTCTTTCCTGCTGCGACTACAACAGGAGAGAAACGCACTGTTCAGAGGAAATGACAAAAAACTATTTGGAAAAAACGTTGCATTATTTGTTTATTTTGTGTATCTTGAGAAGGATCACTTTGGTGTTTCATGATTTGGTAAAAACTAAACTAAAAATTATCTGTTTTGATCTTTGAAAAAATCAATTCAATTCAATGTATTTGAGCTCCTAATTGAACATGCTGTTTTCATCTGGAGCAACTGTAAACTATACACAGAGTACTTTTAAAGAAATGTGTGGTTTAACGCCCAAAAATCAGCTTTCTCCACTTTCAAACACTATGGTGACGTCAACCCGCTCTAATATACGCTCCACGGGAGGACCTGGGGAAAACATATAGTGGGACATGGTACACAGTCCGGTCTGGTCCCAGTCTGGTCCCAGTCTGGTCCCAGTCTGGTCCCAGTCTGGTCCCAGTCTCGTCCCAGTCTGGTCCCAGTCTCGTCCCAGTCTGGTCCCAGTCTGGTCCCAGTCTGCAGATGGGAGGGTATAGCCTGGCATCTGAACATAGAATTCTGATGTTGATATAGTTGCTAATGCTAATGCTAATGCTAATGCTAATGCTACACTCACTCTCCAATGACACTTGTAAAAATGGCAAATTACGCATTCGCTTCAGCCTACTCCTTTTGGGTCTTTCTTGTTTTAACCCTTTGTGCTGCCCTTGGGTCAGAAAGTCCCCACAAAGATGATCTAATGTAGAAGAAACATACAGTCATTGAGGTGTGGGTTAGGGTTAGTTAGGACTGGTTAAGTTAGGACTGGTTAAGTTAGGACTGGTTAAGTTAGGACTGGTTAAGTTTGGATAAATCACCAACATTCATTATTCTATTATCAGCTGGCATTATCAGTGATCGTATTCTATAATAAACGATTATTGTTACAAATGTTATTTATCGTGCCGAGTTCATTTACAAAGTCACAGGAATCCGCAGCCTTAACACAGTATTTCCATAAGAATCTTCTCTCATGCGGCTGTCGTGCAGTAAATCTGTGTCTGGGCGTTCGTTAGTTCGTTCGTTAGCGATCGTTCGTTAGCGATAGCCTCTTCACGCCGCGACCTCGGCCTCACAGAAGCAGCATTGTGGAAAGAGCCGCACGCCGTGTTTTATGTTATTTGCAGATGTTTTTGTGGCCGCGAGCTGTAAAATGTCTGCGCAAACAGAGACGGCGACAATGGCCCTGACCTTCGTGAGTGAGTCATGAAGCAGCCGTGGATGAGGCGGCTGCAGGGTTTAGTGCGGAGAGAAACATTGGAATATGGATAGATGCTAACTAGCTTACTGTGCTAACTAGCTTACTGGCTCAATGAAGTAAGAAGTAGTAGTAGTAGTAGTAGTAGTAATCTTTATTTATATACCGCCTTTTCACTGCACATCGGAGTCTCAAAGCGGTTTACAATTGTTATTTTTGGGAGTGGGGCCAGTACAGGAGGCACATGCCAGACCTATTGTACATATTTTTAGTGGTAGGGGAAACCGGAGCACCCGGAGGAAACCTACGCAGACACGGGGAGAACATACAAACTCCACTCAGAAAGGCCCTGGTCCAACCGGGATTCGAACCCAGGACCTTCTTGCTGAGAGGCGAGAGTGCTATCCACTCAGCCACATGGAAGTTTTGCTCCAACTCGCTCTGACTCCTACTGACTTGTTTGTTTGTTTGTTTGTTTGTTTGTTTGTTTGTTTGTTTGTTTGTTTGTTTGTTTGTTTGTTTGTTTGTTTGTTTGTTTGTTTGTTTGTTTGTTTGTTTGTTTGTTTGTTTGTTTGTACTAGGACTGGGCGATGTGGCTAAACACAAAATCTCCCATTTTTTTACACCAGATTTTTCAGTTTTAACCGATTATTTTTTTTCTATTTAAAAACAAACTACAACAGACAAAGAAATAGGTTTTCCTTTAAGCAGTTTACTCTAAATTTCCTCTTGAAAGATAAATGAAAAACAGCCACATTATGTTTATGTCATAAACATTGAGCCCTGAAAGCAATGAACGATAATTAAAGCCTTTCGTTTCAATCCAAGAAGCTGGACTCTTTTTGGTCAAAGAAATATACATTAAACTCTTTTCTACAAATGTTTACTTTCTCTACTTTTACTATCAACGAATGAGACGATTCTTTAACAATAACAGAAAAAGTATCATTGCAGGAGCTAAACTGACCTCATCTTTCTGAAACGTCTGGACTCTTAAAGGAGCAATATGTAATATTTGCATGTCAAGTCATCATTAAATGACCCGAATATTTCAAAAGGCGTTATTAAATCATACTCTTTTCGAATTCATCTTTAACTGATAACAGTAGTTCAGCCGAGATATTTGATTATCAAAATTAGTTTTACGACCCGTAAAAGTTGTTATTGTTTTGATTTTGATGTCCTACCCTCCGCCGTTTCGCCAATCAGGAAGTGTCATGTACGTCCGTGATCGGGTTGCCAGAACTCCGCGCGGCTCATTAATCTCAGTGGTAAAATAACATGTGGCGCAGAACTAAAAAAGGTCTTGTTATGACTCTCAAATCATTAATGACAAAACAAAGACTAAAACGAGGATTTATATCGGGATGCATTTGAACAATTGAGACAGCTGATAAAAGTTCACGTGTGATGCAGAATTTTCTAGTTTTAGTCCGTTCTTCACAGCGTCTCTATTCGTGTGAATCGGTGGCCTAGTGGTCTAAGGCAGTGGTTCCCAAAGTGGGGGTCCCGACCCCCCGGGGGGTCGCGGGAACCCCTGGGGGGGTCGCAAGATGATTTCCACACAAACAAACAAAAAATTTTTTTTTTTTGAGCAAATATAAAGCCCTTATTTATTTAGCATTTGATTTGATTCAAAAGGACTACTTTTTTTTTTAATTGTGTTTGGAGACTATAATATATTTTAATAACGTTAGTAATTTTGTCCCAGTCATTGCAGCGTCAATCAAAATCATCACGTAACACAGCTCACATCATGCGCAGCGACAAAGCGTGTCCTGCTGTTGTTTGCTAAAACTAAAGGTGTTTGGAGGCTACAAATAAATAATACCTGCTTTAAAATGAAACGTGGTTAATATCCACAACAGAAAAATCCGGAGGGGGAGAAAAGTCACTTGTATCAGGGGTCAGGCTGATGGTGCGAAGAGAGGGAGAGAGGGCAGCGGAGGGAGAGAGGGCAGCGGAGGGAGAGAGGGCAGCGGAGGGAGAGAGGACAGAGGAGGGAGAGAGGGCAGCGGAGGGAGAGAGGGCAAAGGAGGGAGGGAGGACAGCGGTAGAACAGCGCGTTAAAGAGGCCCGGCTTTTCGGAGTCAAAGGTAAAGAGGTCCGCACATTAAAAGCGGGTGGCCGGTTTATGCCTTTACTGACAGTAACTTTGGAAAGAGAAGCCGCGGGGATGAACCGCATAAAGTAACAGCAGAAAGCGGCCGCCCGCTTTTAATGTGCGGACCTCTTTACCGCTGACTCCGGAAAGCCGGCCCACTTTACCGGTAGGAGAACAGTGAGGGCGAGCCGCAAGAAATGCGCTCCACTTCTGCAGAGGAGGGAGCCCACCAAGCCCATCACTGTGTCACTACATGAGTAAAAATATGCAAGCCTCCTTTTTTGGGCTGGACAGTGCAGCTCGGTAGTGGCGTGAGTCTCTAGAAATCGTTACTCCGTATCAAGGAAATACATGCTCATTTCATGTGACGGAAGGGCTGTTGGGGGGGGGCGGGGGTCGCGGGTTAGCAGGGCATTTATGATGGGGGTCGCGGGCTAAAAACTTTGGGAACCCCTGGTCTAAGCTGTGCGCTTACGATGCAGGAACCCGGGTTCGATCCCGGGCTATGTCTTTTTGAATTTATTGCATGTTATCACATTCTATGACAGATTGCTCTAAAAACGGTAAAAGATGAAGGTCAAGACGTTTTTTTGCAGATTATAGCTTAATTGTAAAAATAATCATTTAAGACCACATGTACCCCAATTAAAATAATGTTAGTCTCTTTTTGATGTGGGACTTTTACATGTTTGTCTAAAAAATAGGGAATAAATAAAATTGAAAGGTGATATCCTCTTGAGCAAACCCTGATGTTGATACGCTGAAGAAATACGTTCCAACATCCATTCTTCCCACTCCTATTTTGGACATCAATTGCTTATTTATTTTGCATAAACTATGTATAATTACATTGCTTTTATTTTGTTTTTGTTTTTTATCTCAAATGTCCAAATAATAATAATAAAAAAACATTAATCAAAACATTCATTCAGCATTAGCACGGCTGTCATGGCAATGTGAATGGAGACGGACAAACAACTGATAAAATAATTCCCTGTGTTTGCTGCTGGATTTGGTGTGAATCTGGCAACCTAAGTCAGGGAGAGTGGAAGAGGACTACAAAATATTGACTGTGACTGCAGTACCACTTTTGGCCAGATTTTTACATATTGCTCCTTTAATGAAGCTGAGGCTCTGTAGTTTTGGCCTGAGGTAAAAGCGTTCTCAGTTTGTGACGTGCACTTACTGACGAAGGAGGTCTCCCCCAGGTAGCCCCTCCGCCGCAGGACCACCTCCAGGAACTTGTGCTCCTCCTGCACCGTGTAGCGAGGCTGCTCCAGAGAGACCCAGGCCCAGTGCAGCCGGAACTGCTGCTGCTGCAGACGGTTCCCCCCTGGACACAGGACACAGGTAATGGTTAGCATACGGTTAGCATACGGTTAGCACACGGTTAGCATACAGTTAGCATACGGTTAGCACACGGCTAGCATACAGTTAGCACACGGTTAGCACATGGTAAGCATACGGTTAGCACACGGTTAGCATACAGTTAGCACACGGTTAGCACATGGTAAGCATACGGTTAGCACACGGTTAGCATACAGTTAGCACACGGTTAGCACATGGTAAGCATACGGTTAGCACACAGTTAGCACATGGTAAGCACAGGTGAACTCAGGTTAGGCAACAAACCTGGGACACCAAAACACGTCAAGAATAAAAATGCTTATTACTACGAACAAGCTGCATTATACGGAAGCTTGTTAGGTTCATTTGTGAGTGTGTTTTTTCCGCTGGTATCATGTTATTTCATGATACTTTCGTATCATCTCGTTATGCTAATAGTTTTTGGATAAATCACCAACATTCATTATTCTATTATCGGCTGGCATTATCAGTGATCGTATTCTATAATAAACGATTATTGTTAGAAATGTTATTTATCGTGCCGAGTTCATTTACTTTCATGATACTTTCATGATACTTTCATGATACTTTCATGATACTTTCATGAAATAACATGATAAATATCATGTTATTTCATGATACCAATTGACAGTCAGAAGCGGACAGCTTCTTCTTCTTCTGTATCTACAGTATCATGTTATTTCATGATAAATTGGTATCATGAAATAACATGATATTTATCATGTTATTTCATGAAAGTATCATGAAATAACATTTTGGGTCCAGATTGTGACCAATCACAGCGGACCACTGGCCCCCACTTTCTTGAGAAAAGCCACAGGTCTGTGGTTAGCACAGACGGCTGAGGTAAACGACAGCCTCAGTCCTGGGTCTACAGCCTCAGTCCTGGGTCTACGGCCTCAGTCCTGGATCTACAGCCTCAGTCCTGGGTCTACAGCCTCAGTCCTGGATCTATAGCCTCAGTCCTGGGTCTACAGCCTCAGTCCTGGATCTACAGCCTCAGTCCTGGATCTATAGCCTCAGTCCTGGGTCTACAGCCTCAGTCCTGGGTCTACAGCCTCAGTCCTGGATCTACAGCCTCAGTCCTGGATCTACAGCCTCAGTCCTGGGTCTACAGCCTCAGTCCTGGGTCTACAGCCTCAGTCCTGGATCTACAGCCTCAGTCCTGGGTCTACAGCCTCAGTCCTGGATCTACAGCCTCAGTCCTGGGTCTACAGCCTCAGTCCTGGGTCTACAGCCTCAGTCCTGGGTCTACAGCCTCAGTCCTGGATCTATAGCCTCAGTCCTGGATCTACAGCCTCAGTCCTGGGTCTACAGCCTCAGTCCTGGATCTACAGCCTCAGTCCTGGATCTACAGCCTCAGTCCTGGGTCTACAGCCTCAGTCCTGGGTCTACAGCCTCAGTCCTGGATCTACAGCCTCAGTCAAGATTATAACAGGAAAAACTTTCCTCATCGATCTGGGAAAAAAGTGTCAGGGCAGGGCCTCGCGTTTCGAGTTCGCACAGGGCCTCGCACCCCCCTTGGGACGGGCCTGCCCAAAATACCCTCCATGCTCCACTACTGAGGAAGGCTCTGGGGCGCAGCGAAGGAAACGAGAAGGGTCTGTCTGCGGCTTGCAGTACGGAGGCGTGTCGAGTAGTAGGCGTGTCGGGTAGTGACGTCACTACCCGACACGCCCGTACTACATGAATTTTGAATTCCACTTGAACTTCTGCAAGTATATCCGTTGAAGAGAAGACATGGCAGACCGTACGCAAACAGTAAGTGTCAACCAACAACGTGTTTTATTTATTTTTAGGCCGTCCCTCCAGTTACAGTGTATTAATGAATAAATGCACATCACCCTGACTAGAAATGTTTTTTAAGAAGTGAACATAATACCTTTGCCAGAGAAAGCAATTTGTATGGGTTTCTTCTAAGAGTCCATGTGCCATCGACATGTCAGGTACATAGTAATAATTAGGTACATAGTATAATATATACAATATAATATTGCCCAAGTCAATTTTGCATCGTTAAAATGGTAATAAGGAAGAAAAACATAACTCTTTACATGTTTTCCAAGACAGTGGAGAATTATTTAGGCAATTATGTGATGTAGCTCACGATGATTTCCTATCACAGTTACAGAAGTCACTGACCATAGTTATTGGATGATGTTCCAAGATATTTGTGTTTCTGAGTGTGCACAAATGGATGTTTATGTCTGCTTTCAGTTGCATCCGACGAATTGTCAGTGATGGGAATCATGCTCCAGTGCTGAAGCAGGGGAACACGCTCACGTGTGTAACCTGTTTTAAACATGGCGGAGAAGCACAAATGCCACACACGTGCAAACCCATGAAAGGGCATCTGTTTGTCATGGAGCTATGTTTTAACTTCGAATCCAGGTGTTGTGCAATATTGTACATTTGTTCTTTAAAGTGATTGTCTAGAGTTTGTCAGAAAGAGAGACAGAGAGGTACTTGATTTGAAAAAAAAAAACAACCCCAAGCTCCTCCCCCTTCCTTTCTGATTGGTCTACACGCGCTTACCGGAAGTATAGCATGATTTTATATAATGTTTGTTTTTACATTAGTAGGCCCGAGCGCCACCAGGCTGGCACAGGGACTATTGTAATGAAAGTGTGCATAAAACACTGAACCCCCCTCAAACATAAACATGTCATGGTACATGTTTCCTGACGTACACTGTACTAAAAACTCTGCATTGCAACATTGTTGATGTACAGAGACCATAAAAGTCATAAGTGCAAGTCACTGACAATAATTAAACCGGACACAACACCTTTTAGGGCTGCATTTGGTTTTGGTGAACTGTTGTTGTTGAATGTAACACATTTTACTCTTATCTAGGTGACAGTTCACACTCTGGCCGAGGCATTTCACCTGCCTCAGCAAGAGGCAATTGAAAAATTCATAAAGGGGCCAAAGTATGAAACCATGGTAAGATTATTTAAATATTGATGGACATATTTCACTGTGCACTGCACAATCTAATCTGTGATTGTTCTTTATGGACAGTGAGTTTTAAAATGATTGCAAATGATCTGGTGAGGCATTTACAGAGGAGGCAGCAGGAGGCTGGAAAGCTTTCCAAGAGAGATGGAGATTGGCGCTCTCCTCTGAAGCCTTTCTCTCATGATTATCAATAAAAGAGAATTTGTTTTGTGTTGAACTTATTCAGTGTCTACATTTCAAGTTCAGCCATTCAGATAACACACAATTCCCCCCCCCCCCCCCCCCCTAACAAAGCATGTACTAAATGCCAAGAAAACAATTATGTTCTTTTTGTTTAATCTCCCTCTCTTCTACATACAAATTTGACAAAACACAATAGTAATGAATGTCTGCTTGTCCCAAAAGGCCAAAGTTGGGCACAAAAATGTTAATGGCATGTTCTCTTTATGTCAGTAATGTGGAGACCATGGGTGTAGGAGTGTGTGGTGGTGGTGGTGGTGTAATTAATATCTTTAACTTGTAATGTACTTTTCAAATATCCTGTTGTTGACAAGTTTTCTCAAAACGCCACACAACTTTATTCATTTATATTCCCACACAGTGTGTCACAGCTTGGGGTTTTGGAGGATGCCAGGCCTACTAATCTGTGCTATTGGCCACCACCGCAAGCAGTTCTCTCACTATGTCCACACATGTGGGTGAAGTGCATTGCTCAAGAACATACCAGACTGCACTTGGGGCAGCCAGGATTTGAGCCACCAACCATAGGCCCCTTTTATAAATGAATGTACACATTAGACATAAGCCACTGGCATTATTTGACTCATTAACTTTGTCCTGAGCTGCTTCAAATCCCTATTGATTGATAGTCCTGAAGTAATGGCAGCTTTTGTAGGCAAATTTACTACTTTGATATTTACAAAATTCGTCCATTTTCCCCAATAAATAATATTGACAATGACATGCGCCATAAAATTCATTAATGCGCATAAAATCATTGGGCATAGATAGTACTCACTACTACTCATACCCGTATTAATATTAGATCCATGCTCATAACACGCGGAGTGGGGGCGTGTTCGAGTAGTGACGTCACTACCCGACACGCCCACTACTCGACACGCCTCCGTACTGCAGGCCGCAGGACAGATACACTTGAAAAGTCTTAAAACTCTTAAATCGATCTAATCCCAAATTAAGACACATGTTTTGCCTAATTTCAGCATTTTTAGACTATTTTCTCATCACTTTTCACTCTATGTTCTGCTCTGGCCCTCACAGAACGCTCCGGGGTCGAATCTCTCCGATCTGTGACATCATAGCTAGACCCCGCCCCCCTTGTCAATCAGCACAAACCACAAAAACAACCCAATATTATTTAAAAAATGACTTTATGCCAAGTGAGAATACGGACTTTGTGGACACTTTCGTAACAGCGCAGCCGTACAGAGAACCGTCAATAATGATCTTTAGAAAGAAACACAATCCTAGAAGAAGAACACAACCCAAGGATCCTGTCGCACAAACCCAACATGAGAACAAGGCTTTCCTGGTTATCAGCCAGAAAATGGAGTAAAAATATATATCAAAAACTCCCAGACATTTCCCTTTAAATCTGCATCGTAGAGAGGGAGGAGGAGACTTTGTTTTAAAATGACGTATATTCAAAGTGGTAACCATGGAAACGGTGAGATCCTTCCATTCAGTCGTCAAAAACAGCATATAAAAATATACAGCAATGCAGAGGTTTGAACCGGGCCACGCGGGAAAAGGTGAGATTATGAGCCTTTGAAAGTGAAAGTAAAAGTATAACACGGCTCAGTGCTTTTGTACCTGTGCTAAAAGTTTATTTCATACAATTTATACAAAATAAAAACTGAAATGTTAAATGAGATTCGAACTGAACTCATTTGAAACTATATCTGATATTTGATGTTTTTTATGTTAAGATGTTGTTTAGGTGAGAATTACTATTTTCACTGTTTAGACCAGAGAGAGACCAGAGAGACCAGAGAGAGACCAGAGAGAGAGTGAC